TATAATATATAAAAAAATAAAAAATTATAAGACCTTCTTATTGGCTAACTATGGTGACAATATTTTACATTACATGAAGACATATAAAATAAGTTAGTTTGCATTTGACGTAATCGGGTCGTATTGACACAATAATTAACAAGTCGGGTTCGTGTTTGATTCACAAACTTTTATATAACTAGATTAACTCGTTTAATTAAACATATTGTGTTTGTGTCAAAAATGATTTAAACATGTCTTGTCATATCATTTTGTGTTATATCAAGCCTTGATATATTTAATAAACAGTTTATCATCTTTGTGCCAAAGTTTCTTGACACGAATAATAATAGACGTCCGGTTCGTGTCGACCTATCTAACAAAATACGCATATCTTTACGCAATACGAACTTAACTTGTCAACATGAATTGTGTCCCTAACCCTAACCACAAATTATAATGACCCAAATTCTTAACGGATATTGGATCTTCCATCTTCTGCATCTCCTTCTCTCTCTCTCTAGTTATCCCTCAAATGTCTATTTACGATTTTAAGTTTATTTTATTTTAAATAATAAACTTTCATTATTATAATTAGACCCTCATTTTTTTTATAAAAATATAAAAATAGTAAACCTAAACGCGATACCACCGTACTAATCAATCATCCTTATTGATAAGTTAGAAACTCATATTCCTGTTAGGTGCCACGTAACCCGTTATTTATAACGGGGGGCAAACACATATCTGTTTCATTTAATAAAATACGTAGTAATACTAATAATAAATTTTAATTTTTGAAAGGCAATAAAAGCAAAAATGATGACTCTAAGGGCTAGCCATTAATTTTCATGTTTGTTGACCAGAGACTTTGACCTTCTCTCTTCTTCGTTTTTGGCTCTCTCTTCTAGCCTTCTCTTTATGGATGATGACTTGGTTTTGCTGGTAGGTGCAAATTAAAAAGTCTTCTGAGTGTTGAGACCATCGATGTAGATCAATCCCACACCTCATTGTCTTGACATTTTTGCATTTATATATCAATGTCATGAATTAATTGGTGACATTTGTATCTTCTTGTGTGCGGTGGTGTATAAACGAACTGATAGAATTAGAATAATTTCCATGTCATTCTTTGACTTCCTAGCTTCGTATATTTTGTCTACTCATTAACTCTCTATATACAAAAACGCAACTAGGGATGTAATGATGAAAAAAGTTCGAATTGATAAATCGTTAAATTTTCTCATTATATTCCTAACAAAAATTTATTACCAACTGAACGGTCTTCCATCAGAATTCAGACATGAATGGATTCATTAAGAATAATATTCTATAAATTATGATCCCACTAAATACATTCAATTTAACCCCGGAGTTACTAGGACTTTTATAAATCGAGGTTATTTTATTCATGATATATCTTCATTTCATGCGGTTTAATATACTTATTTTTTTATATAAATAAAAAGAAATCATATAAAAATTTGTGGCTCCTTATTGTGATCATTTTTCTTCCACTTGACATGTCCTGACAAGATGAAACTAAATTGAGCCACTAAGCATTTTTGTGATACATATTATGCAAAAATAATAAAAATACTGTAATAAATAAGACTCAGACCTTCTATTATAATTAATTTTTACAGGGAAAGAAAATTATAATAACAATTTTTTTGTTTATTTTTATATTTTTGCAAAATAGCATCAAAGATTAGATGTCTCAAGTTTTTGTTTTGATTTTAAAAATAAGAACAAACATGGTACCAAAACAACATCCCGAGCTCAAAAGTAAGAACATGCAAAATCCCTTTCCGTGGATGGATAATTTGTATAGTGTCCCCTTGCTAATGTAGTAATGTCTTGGTACTGCAAGCTCATAACGAAATACATCATTATAAAATAACTATGTAATGTAGTTAATTATGAATTATTATATAATGCATTGATGAAAATAGTTAAAGAGAGGCGTGGTCTTAATAAGGATAGTAAATTACGATGCGACTCAAATACAACACGAGATAATTAGATTTGTGTTGACCTTAAACTGGTTTGGGTCATAAACGGGTTGACAAGATTAACCCACTTACTTAACTGTGTCGGGTTAAGATTGAAGGGTTCAACTTGTGTAATCCATTTATGACCTGTTTAACTCAACATGTTATAATCGTTAATATGACTTATGTAATATGTTACTTATTTAAACCCAATTACTATAGACAGTTAAATCATTTCAACATAAACTTTGATTAGATCTTCTAATTTTTCTTTTTATTTTGAATATTTAGATTAATTGTGACAAAATTTTTCTAGTATTTATTATTTGACTAAATATTAAATGCATCTTTTGAATAAAAAGCCTAAATAGATCATTAAACTGGTTAATACGTTAACCCGTTTAATAAACAGATCGGATTAATATTAAGGATTCTTGACATGATTGTTAAATAGGTCGGGTTTGAATTTATCTGTTTACTAGAATACACTTATATTGACCCGACCCGATACGATTATAATCCATGAGCACGGATTGCGACCCTAAATTTTAACAATAGCAGCCCAAAACGTTCAACATTTCGAGAAGAAGAAAAATAAAAATAAAAAATCACAAAATATTTATAAATCTGGTGGAGACTGAATTTTACACATGTACATTATAACCACCACTATTTTAATCAATCCTGGATCCAATTGCTTGTCGTACTTACCAACCTCACATGGCAAAACATTGATAATAAACATATTCTATTTATTTTTACTCCTTGTCTTCTTATTGCAGAAGCAATCATAATCCAACTTTCCATTCTTTGCATAAAATTAAATAAACAAAATATATTATGTATAATTTGTCAAAACCAAGTCATGCAGCAATAATACACACACACACACACACACATATATATATATATTTGTCAAAACCAAGTCGTGCAAGAATACAGATTTGAATTATTAAAAGGAAAAAAAAAAAACAAAACAAAACAAAAAAAAAACTGAAGATCGAGTAGTGGACTAAAATTGATGGCCAGAAAATTTTATCAATTTGAACGTCCAAAATGGAAGAAAAAACCAATTTGAAGCAGTCAGTTATCTCCCTAATTAGCAAACATATATATATATATGGAGCGAAAGAAACAAAATAAAATAATGGATTTCTTATTAAAGAAAACATAAGTAACTTTGATTATTCATAGCAACTGAGTCATATTTCTGTAGGTCCATGTATGTATATATACTATTATATTCAAACCATTTTATTACGTGGTTTCGTGCACTCCTCTGGCCTATTATGGCGGAGGAAAATGGTTATGACTTATATAATGCGAGAGAAAAGAGGCTCAGGTAGAATATTAGTATATATTTTATTGCATGGGTGATTCAATGTTATATTTTAATATTAGTATTAAGGCACTACCACACTAGCTGTGGTGTGGCTTGGAGAACTTTTAATGCTTTTTAAATTATATTTTAGGAGGTTGTTGAAGTTTCAGAACCAAGGTTAAGAACAAAACAGGTCTTGGTTCCAATTGATCACGACATGGACTTGATATCGACTCATCATATGGTGGATTGAGTGACTTTTGCTGTGGCCAAAATTTGAAATGCAAGTCATATGTAAAAGGTTTCTATTAATATTACGAGAAAACTATAGTAATAGTCCAACAATTATAAATTACTAGTATGATCATAAATATAAAATCTTTGATAAAAAAAAAAAAGGTAAATTAAAGATTGCTAACGTCGATCAAGCAATATAGCTTATAGGACCAGTTGAAACCATTGAGAGTATGGATACTGCTGCATCAGTTGGTGTGATAGATTTAATGGCTCAACCTTACGGGTTGTCAAATTATACACTCCAAAATCTTTATTGTGTGACTCGGTTTCTTCAATGAAATGGATTGAGTTGGGTCTCTAATCCGGATTGTATCTGAGACAAACTTTGAATCATTACGAGCCAAGAAAAGAGCTTGATGATCGCTGAAATTTCTCACCTCTTTCCATTTACCATTGCTCCAGTTGAACTTAAAAATTTCAAAGAACTTCTTCTCCTCCAATATCTTCCTATTCTATAACTTTCACGGTTCCTCACAATCATCAACAATTCACCGGTCCACGACTCCACTCAGTACCTATATGGGTTGATAGTACTAGTGCCATTGCATACTTCCTCCTCCTCATAACTAGAATGAGATTTATCTAACAAGGAAGTCGAAGCATACCAAACTTATCAAGTGAGTAGAATTTACCCTGATAGAATAACAGGGAAACGCAGTAGTAGTTTCTAGTGAAAACAGGAGTCCATTCCTTGTCACCAGGTGTATAAATAGCCATATCCGGTGGAATTGTGGTGTAAAAGTAGACCATGCAAGTGGGATCAGTAGGAATGGATGATGTGATGATGAATCTAAGTTTATTTGAATCTTTGATCATTGCCGGTTTTGGAAGTTCATTTGGATCTTTGATCATTGCCGGGTTTGGCAGTGGTGGAAGTTGGACCACCATTCTTGAGAGGGGATTGAAGAGATATAGTACCCTCTCAAAAAAAAAAAAGGGAGGCAGTAGTAGCCATCCACCATAGGTAGCAATATTACAACAAAGAAGACCTTTAGCGACGAAACAATTCGTCGCTAAAGCTCAAATTTTCATCCCTATATGCTTTTAGGGACGAAATTATTTTCGTCATCAGTCCTCCCTGTGTAGCCGTCACTATTCATCTATAGTGACAAGCGGTAGTTTTGTCACTAAATCTTAGGCTTTTAGGGACGAAAGTCGTTTTGTTGCTGATAGGCAACCTTTAACGACAAACAACTTTGTCAGTAAATACTAGTTGGCATGATTTAATTTTGTTGCTAAATACTAGTTGCGAATATCAGATTTCTATCATGAAAGCTTTATGGTGACAAATTTATGTAATATCACTAAATGTCTTTCTATGAATCAAATCTTCTATTCAATTAAATTTCTACACAAAATTCTATTCATTTCAATGCCACAAATTGACACAAATCGGAATAAAACATCAAATTTTATTACAAAATTACATTACAATATTCAATTACATTACAAAGTAAAACTAACTATTCAATTGTCACACAAATTCAAACTAACAAGTAAAAGAAACTCTCATCCTTTCATACTAGTCTTCTAGAATCTTAAAATTCTTCAAAGTGTTTTTAGCTTTGTGCATTTCCCCGTTGAATACAAGAATTCCCCACTAAGAGCCACTCTAGTGCCTGCAAAAAAAAAAAAAACCAAAAAATGTTTTCTGTAAATGAAACAACTGAGCCTATAAAAGTTAAAATAAAAAACTAATTAATATTCTCCTAAGGAATTAAACTTGACTAAGATGAATCCCTCCAAGAGATGCAACATCATTAACATGAAAAATAAATAAAATATAACAAATACAAGAATTATTTACCTCAGTCATCTTGTCAGCAAGTGTCTTGATAGTAACCCCTTGTTAAGGTAGTCCACTGCCCATTTTGAATAACTGGCCGTTAGCACTGGCTAAGTTTTCTAAGAAAAATCAAACAACTCAAGTACTACTTCTAGCAACCAAGAAAGGAAAGACTATTTATGGCACAATAGTCTTCCATAACAGGTAGTCCTGATCCAAATTCTTTAAATTAACAATTTAGCACTCAAGAGCCAATCATTTATAGAACACCACAAGGATATATGACAAAGAATATACAATTTAACAAAAAGCTAAGAAGGAAATAAAACAAGAGGTAACTAATGGTTAAACTGATCCAACAAAGATGAAAAAAAAAAAAAAAAAAAAAAAGAGGTAACTATCAGAAACAAAACAATAGGTAGCACTAATGTAAAACCAAACCCATTAGGCCTATGTTACCACTTACATGACCTGAACAATGCTTATTGGGCCTTCAAGAGACATCAAAGAGTTCCCTTGTTCCCTCCTGAAACTAGAAAAAGAAAAAGTAAGTAAATGCAATAAAAAAATAAGTAAACGAAGCTAAACTATTAAGAAAGTGTAAATAATGCCAATGTACCGTCTCAAAGTGAGTATTAGTTCCACAAATTACCGTATGTAAGGCCACATAAGAGAGCATACAAAATGATGACGATGATAATATTATCATTATATTAACTAAGTTTGGTTAGAGTATAATCCCACTCCCATTCTTTTATATTAAAAGGCCTAATGTCCACTAAAAGAGGATAATTGTCAAATACAAGCTTATTACTATATTGTATAAACATAACAAGACTAATTTGAGCATACAATCTAAATAGCTCAATGAATAATACTGCTAAAACCAATTGTACATCACTAGCTAATTCAGTGTGAACTTGATAGTTTCTGAAAAATGAAAATGATTTTGTGGAGCTTAATCAACTAACAACAAATTGTATTCAATCCATAATCAAATTCTTGACATAAAATTCTTCTTGTGGTCACAGATATTGGGAAAAGTAAAAGAAATAGCTAGATAGGAAGCAGTTGAGAAGACAAATCGAGTATTGGTGCTGAACTTAGTAATTTATTATCAATCACTTCAAAATTTTACAAAGATGCGGATTTCAACAATATAGATTACGGATAATGACTCAAGGACTCAAAATATATACAAATATTTATTTATTCATAATCAAATATACTGTAATCCATGATCTATTATGTATTGAGAGTTAGGGCTTGGGTAATGAGGAAAGAGAGGGAGAGAGAAAACATAGAGAATATAAATTACATATAATAACAAGGGACTCACGCATACAATTAGGGCTTTCATTGATAATGGAGGCTAGGGTTTTGAAAATATAAAACCAAAAAAAACTTACCTCCAGAGTCCAAACACAGAGACATGCGAAGAGGACAGAGTGCTTCTTCTTTATAGATGATTGAGAGAGACTATTTGCCTCTATGTTCATCTCCATCACGCTGATTTCGGAGCCATGCCAGTTGTAAAGTTCAGATTAAGCGATCTTAGGCACGTTTTCAGGCATAGTCGTCGGACCGACGGCGAAATTGAAGAACCGATCTTGGGATTGGGAGGAGTGTTTATCAAACAAGTGATTAATTTGGGTTTGTCGAGGAGAGAAGAGTGGTTGAGAGGGAATCCATTGAAGTGGGTAGTGGAGACAGTGTTGGGGTTTTTGATAAGGTGACGGTTAGGGTTTTTCAAGGAACGAGAATGAGGCGAAGCTGAAGAACTTTATGCTTTTCAAAAAATTTGAGCGTCTAAAAATCGTGTGAAAGAAAAACATAAGCTAGGAAAAAATATGTTTTGAGTGGTGGGGCAGTACAAAACACTAATTCAAGGACGTCGGACGTCATCGTTTTGATTAAAATTTACGATATTGTTGAAACGGCACAGTATTGCCCTAGAAATACCAGCGAAAAATTTCTCTCGACAAACGCAAGAAAGGCTGCGAAGTTTCCCGCTGACCCTTTAGGGACAAGATGAAAATTTTGTCCCTAAAAACTGTGATGAAATAGTATTTTGTCACCAAAAATACTACTATTAGAGACTAAATGAGTTTTGTCAGGAAAATTTTGTCACAAAAGCCTCAATTTGTTGTAGTATACACATATCATTTTAGGAACAGCGGCACTACCACTGTCGTCGGCCGCCTCCTCAATGTCAGCGTCATCTGCCTCGCTTAATCTCGAAAAACATCTCTTAATGGAATAGAAGTCCTTGTAATGAAACCTCTTCATGTTGGGTCCACGGTACCTATATTCCATGGTGTTCTCACCAAGACACAAGAGTTTGCTATGATTATGGTTGCACAAGTGCTTATTACTGTAAAGGAGTAGTAATGGAGTAATACTACTACTATTGTTGATGTCACGTGATGATATCACCCTCAGTGCTGCATATCGCCATGAATGACATACACTGCGACATCGTCGAAGATCGAAAGTTGTGGTCAGACGTGACATGATCAACTCCAGCAATTCTTGAGGAAGGTCGGACCAAGACCAATAATATTTTTTTAGGGTAAAGTGCAAAAAAAATTCCTCAATTATGTCTAAATGTGCAAATAATCACTTGAACTATGTTTTGTGCATAAAACTCCCTAAACTATCACATTTAGTTGCAAAATACCCTATTATCTTACCTATTTTTCATTAAATGACCGTAATACCTTTTTTATTGAATTACACTTGATATATTTTTCTTGTTAAAATAAATTATGAAAAAAATTCATATTAATTTGATGAAATATTCTCCATTAAATTTGCATAAGTTTGCCTTTAATTTTTTAAATTAATTATTTAAATAAAAATCTTAAATAGAAAATTTTGAAACAATTTAAGTAATTTCTTATTTTTCATGAATATAAGATATTTTTTATTTACATAATTTATTAATTTTTTAAAAGTGAGTATAATAAGCTTTATTATAATAAGTTAATCATTTTAGAAAATGATAGTTACAAATTTATTTATTTTTTTCAATTTTTATAATCAATTGATACTAATTATAAAATTAAGGTAAATGGTATAATTAATATTTAAATAAGAAAAAATTTAATAAAAAACAATTTAATAAGAAATAATAAATTTAATAACAAAGGGTAAAATAGTCTTTTGTGATGAGTTTGTCCTTAATTGCAACAAATCAATAGTTTAGGGGGGACAATCTTTCGTTCAGGGGTGTTAGTTACAAAAAGCCAATAATTTGAGGAAATTTTTTACACTTTACCCCATTTTTTTTTAGCCATGGGTGCGAGAGGGAATGCCAAATGCAAAATCTAAGTCACACACCGGCAGGTATTATGTGACTTAGGGCTGTTCAATCCTAGCAAACAACCAGTCAGTTTTGATTGAGAAGATTCCAACAAGAAGAAATCAACGAATTATAAGAAGGAAATTAACCCTAACCCTAACCCTAACCCTAACCCTCACCCTCACCCTCACCCTCACCCTCACCCTACGCTAGATTTTCCTCTCCTTAATCAAAGATCAAAGTCCACAATTTGATGAACCGGCTCCGTGGCTTCAAGGATTTAAGCTGTGTTTGGAATGGGAGGATTTCACAATTGGATTTGAAATAGAATTTTAGGTGGTTGGAATGTATGGAATTTTAGAAGAACTGAGATTTGACGAGATTTTATTGGAAATATAATAAAGGTAACCAAATCCTTTAAGGAATTTGATAGGATTTGATAACTAACTATTTAATTTATTAAAATATTATTTTACAAAAATACCCGATTTTACATTTCTCATCCTACAATCTGATTTCACCTGCCTCATCTTAAAATTGTAAAAATTAATTTATTTTTAAATTCTTTTTTACAAATTTCATTTTATTCCAAGCATAAAATAAAATTTCATATTAATTACAATCCAATTCCTTTTACAATTCTATTTTCACATCTCAAAAGTATTTGGTTCCAAACAATTAAAGCGTTATTAATAACCCATCAACTGGTCGATTGAAGAGTTAAATCAGAATTTTTTTGGGTTTAGTCCAGGTGGGCCTTGTAACCTGTTCAGCCTCGTATGTTTGGGCTGGCCCTTTTATTAAAAGGTTACCAAATATACTTTTTAACAGAGCCTTTATTAGTTATTATTAAATGAGTGAAAGTTCAATTTGACCCCTTTAATCAAACCAGAACAAAAAAATTGGCAGCTTACAGATAATGTATATCCAAAGTCCAAACGTTGATTGTCATTAAATGGAACTCATGCATGCATAACTCATAAAAGTTCTTTTGATCAAAGCTTGTACATACAACAAATCCTTTTAAGGAATTTGATAGGATTTGATAACTAACTATTTAACTTATTAAAATATTGGAGTATTTCACAAAAAAAAATACCCGATTTTACATTTCTCATCCTACAAACTCCTGCCTCATCTTAAAATTGTGCAAAATTTATTTATTTTCAAATTCTTTTTTACAAATTTCATTTTATTCCAAACACAAAATAAAATTTCATATTAATTATAATTCAATTCCCTATTTTCAAATCCCAAAAGTATTTGGTTCCAAACAAATTAAAGCGTTATTTATAACCCATCAATTGGTCGATTGGAAGAGTTAAATCAGACCTGTTTTGGATTGGTCCAGCTGGTCCTTGTAGCCCGTTCGGCCTCGTATGTTTGGGCTGGCCCTTTTATTAAAAGGTTAAACCCTTACCAAATATACATTTTAATAGAGCCGTGAATGAGTGGTGAGTTTAAATTTTACCACTTTAATCAAACCAGAACAAAAAATTGGCAGTTTACGGATAATGTATATATCCAAACGTTGTTTGTCATTAAATGGAACTCATGCATGCATAGCATAACTCATAAGTTCTTTTGATCAAAGTTTTGTACACTTCACTTCTTTCTTTGAGAAATAATTAATCCTCACAAATCCCATTTCCAAACTACCAAGCATAATAATCAAACCAATCTTTTTATAGTTACAAATAATAGTCATTTAACATGCCACAATTTAAAATGAAAAGAAAAATGATTCTTGCACCAAATAGTTACAGTGAATTATTAGACTTACTTTTTTAATTGATCAATTATGTAACAAATAAGGAAGTAGAGTCCTTCACTTAATTGTATTTGGTATAAATAGTCAATTAAAAATTATTCGATTAGGCAATTCACTGTAAGTATTCAATGTGAATATCACTACTCAAATGAAAATCAGCTCTAAAAAGTATTCTAAACTTGTATGATCCTATGATCCTAATAGTGTGTGTGTGTGTATAAAATCATACATTAAAAACTAGGAAAAAAAATTAAATAAAAGATTACGTACATCTAACAATATAGCCTATAGAACTACGGCTGCATATGACATAGATTTTAATGGCTCAATCTTATGATTTGCCGAATCATACACTCCAAAATCCTCATTAAATGAAATAGATTGAGTTGAGCCTATATCTAAGATTGCATCTAAATGAGACAAACTTTATTTTCAAATATATATGAATTATGGTATTTGGCAAATAAATAATCCTCGTAGACCGTTAAGGTTTTTTATTAGGGTTAAATTTTCCATCAACTTCAAAATGAGTAGGTGATTTTTATGCATGCCACACTGAAAAAATTAAATAACAAAACTCATTGTACACATTATGAATATCTTTCTCACAAAGCCCACATCCCCTGATTCAATCTTCAAACTTGATTTTGAATCGGGTCTTTGATAGTCTTCTTTAAGTATTTGTTATTGAAGAAAACTGAAAATAGTTTCTGATCAAGGGTTAAATAAGCTTTATCTCTAACAATCTTCTTGATGATTTCTCGAATTTGCAATCTTGAAGTGCTTATTGTTCTTCTTCTTTAGGCTTTGGATGTTGTGGATGAATGCAGAATTCGGCAGAACTTCAGTGCTCTCACCCTGAATTCTCCCCTTTCTTGCTTGAAAATTGAGGGACGGAAGAATTTGGCAGAGCTTTAGTACTTTCACTTTGTGTCTTCTTCCTCTCCCCCACTCATCTCTCTACCTTTATTTTTGTAGACTTATAGAGGGACGGAATTGTAATTCGGCTTGTAATTTATAGACTTAATTGGTCTACTTAGGCTGGGCTTCCTTAGTTTGCTTTAAAAGGCTTGGGGCTTCATTACCCTAGTGTTGTGGGCCTGTGGGCCTTCATGTACATTTTACAGAAATCAATGTATACTGGTACAGCATACATATTCTCCCTTGTCCCTCAATATATATTGTTAATCTTTCCCGTGATGAATATAAAATAATATATTGCATTTGTTCTACTTTTTATGCATAAATATTACATGTAAATGTCCGTTTACATTTGGAAATCCTTGATAAATATTCACAATTTATTAATATCTTAAACCCTCGACTTTTCCTTTAAAAAAATGAGGAGATATTATTAAACCACGATGACAAATATTTATTAAAAGAGTTGTTTCATATAATTTCATACCTTTTTTTAAATTTTTTCCCTCCCAACATCCCTCAAAAAAAAAAAAAAATCCATTCTCTCCACTACCTCATATGAAATTTTTCTGTATTAAAACTGACACGTGGTATTACTATTTGTTACTTCGAAGAGAATTAGTCTCATTCAAAGATAATAAATAAATAATTCATCAAAAGCAGGTCAATACTTAGATAAATGGACTTTTCTGGTTTCATAATTAATACTTGTACATCAACCTATAAAAGACATTAAGAACATTTGCGCCTTATAATTACCATCCGGATCCAAGATTTTTCATTTTGGTTGATAGTCCATGCTATACAGCCACGTGGCCTAGGAAA